CTTGTTGATTCATGATTCTTTGGTTTATAACTTTTAGTTCTTTGAGTTGTTTGGCCTTGTTTGAGGACAAACAAGTTTAAGTTGTGGAGAGTTTGATAAGTGCAAATTGTAGTTATTTTTGTATATACTTTTTGTTTCACTTATCGACTTTTTGTTGTTAATATCATTGAATAAACCCAACTTTTGTGTAAATATCTTTAGTTTGTGTTTGTTTGTGTTTTTGTGTACATAGTGTACCGTTTTATGTTTTTCTATTCATTTTGTAGGTATTTGTTGCTTTTTGGAGCATCGAAGAATAAGGTGTCGAAGACACGACTCCAGATGCACATTTTCGGAATAAAAGATCAATTTTAGGACATTCTGTCAAACAGAGCCCGCTTAGCGTACAGAGGCCTCTAAGCACGAGTGACGCTCAATGCATTTTATAGCACGCTGCTTGTGTTTACTGTTTTGGCAGAACCAAATTTTTTAAGCCCGCTTAGCGCAGATAGCGCGCTTAGCGTGATTTAGGTTGGTTTGATGTGTAAAATAAGCAAGTCGCGCTTAACGCGCCAGGCCCGCTTAGCGCGGTCTGTTGAAATTTGTTTTATAACTTCATTTTCAGTTCATTTTTAGGGATGATTTTGGGGAAGTTTTTGCTCCCAACTTCATCAAACTTTAATTTTGTTAGGATTAGCTTAGACAACAACTATGGAGCTTGCGTACGGATGATCCGAGGTGGATTTCTCTTTGATCGGTGCTGACAAATCGATAGATATGTGGTTCATTTGTCTTTTTCTTTATGTATTATCTATTGGTTGGGTTTGTATATGTATTTTCTTTGAACTCATGTATATTTGTCACCCTTGGCGTTATATAAAACATCATTTACGAATCTTTGTCGATTGTTGTCCTAGATTTTTACTATGTGTTAGGGATTTGAGTTGTTATAGACATATACTTCGGTGTTAGAGATTAAATCCTTTGTATTGTTTGTGTTGTTCTGAGAGATCATTGATGCAAGCGAGCACTGTTGACTTATGTGTGGTTAAGGTGGTTGAGAGATCGCTATCAAGGTGATGCAGTAGGCCTCTCAATTTAGGATAGAAATGACTTTGGTTGTGAGTGATACGTAGAGACATTGATGAATGTTGTAGGTTTATTATAACACGTAGATAGGTTTAAGTCTGTGAGAAGTAGTATAAAAAAATGCTTGATAAGTTTTTCCTTTTTCCTTTTTATACATTCATTTTCCGTTGATATTTTTCTTTTCAAGCCATTTATCTCCAAACTCATTAATGATAGAATTGTCGAATGGTGAATCAATAACCAATCTATATGGACATGATATGATATAACCTATATATCACCCGGTAAATTAATAACTTACTTTTTGCTTTCCGCTTTACCGCCGCGAGAAAATGGCGTCATTGCCGGGGATTGGTGTTTATTGTTTAGAATTGTGATAATTCTTTTGTTTTTGAGTTTTATAATTAATATATATGTTGTATAGAATGTGTAAATAAACATGTCTATTTTTACTTGTACATGTTTTGTGTTTACTTTCCATACTTGTGCATGTATGTGTTTTTATTTGTTTTCACGTATTGTTGTGAATTGTCTCGTTTTCATAATGTTTGTTATGTGGATGTTAGGACACTGTCTTTAGGTTTGCACGGTGTAACAATACCATGCCATGGCGAGAGGAGGTTACTAGCTCGCACAATATATACGTCGAGCATACAACGTAAAAATAGCATGTTTGTATTAATTTATGTATGTGTTGACGTGTGTTTTAACAAGTTGAAATTGGACTTGTTTTAAATTCTCAAATTTTCACTTTTCAACTTGTTAATTCACTTTTTCTTGTTCGTTTCATTATGTCAAGTTATGTTTTTTCGCAAGCTTGTCGTGTTTAGCTTGTGGAAGTGTGTTTGTTAATGTTGTAAATATTGTAATTGTTGCAAATTGACTGTGTAGGGTGATTGTGAAGACTGTTTCTACTGCTTCCTATTTTGTATGCATCTAGTGTAGTGTGCTAAGTGTGGTTTAGGCTGTTTAGCACACTCTCTTGTGTTGTGCCAGTGTAGTTTTTTTTAGTGTTCACTTGGCCGTCCTTTTTACCACTTCCACCTAGACTTTAAATAGTGAATAATATTAGTATAATTAATTCTCTTGTTGTTGTTTGGATTCAATTTTGGTTCAGTAGCTTGAAGTCACTTTTGGTGATTTTCCATGTTTGAGTGTTTCAACTTGCGAATGTGTGGTAATGATTCTCTTAAAGTTTTGTACACGTTCGAGGTATGTGTTTATCACTTTCTATACTATAGAATATTCATGATACTTATACTTTTTACAACTTTTAGGCCATTCATTATTTTGTATACTTGTTCATTTGTGAATCACTTTAGTTCCTACCCTTTTTGTGAGGTAGCTTTCCATTGTTCAAATATGCTGGAGGCCACAATTCTTATTTTAACTGGATTTTATTATGTTTAATCTTTTGTTTATGTTGATTATATAAAAGCTTGAACATGATCAAGTAATTTCTTTTGTTCCATTTTGATCACAACTACCCCTTGTGAAATAGTCAATTCACCTTGTGAGTGTGTGATCATTAGTATCCCCTTTTGACCCTTTTTGTCAATATCCATGTTATTTTTGCTAAACGTTTGTCTATAAGTGTTTGGTTCATCTTTTTGTATGGATATTTATTCTTATTTTTCTTGAACCTTCAACTATAATTTTTAGTTGAATTTTTACCTTTCCTTAGTAAGTAGGGAGTATCCACATTATAATGATGGTTGAATTCAATTTTGGTAGAAAAATAATTGTGTATTTATTGGTTGGTTGAAAAAAATGTGAAAAAGAAAAGATATAAAAAGAAAGAAAAAAAATTGAAAAAGCATTGAAAAAAAGAGTATGGAAGAATGTTGTGTTAATAAGTGATGTGTGATGGTGTGAAACTTGTGGTAAAGAAGAAGTTTGATTAAAATTCTATTGTTTGAAACTTTGTGGAAGTAATTACTCTCTTTTAGGAAACTTTTTGTTTCGATTAGCTTTAGGACTTATCCCTTGTTTGTTAACCAAACCACAATATAACCTTGAAAATCCCTTGAGATTCTTGCCTTTGTATTTTCAATATGAGTTTTTATATGAATGTATAATTTAGTCTTATGTTTGCAAGATTGTTGGATGAGTGAAAATACCCCATTTTTGTGTGTTTTTCATCTACCGATGATTGATTTTGCTAGGTGTGATTCATTTGTGAACTAGTGTTATTTTAGAATGTTTGGCATGTTCTTTGTATTTAGCATTCTTTTCGTGGTTACGTTATCATCATAGTTTAGTGGTAAGTATGTTTCTTCACGTGTACCATTTTTTATTTGAAACATTGCATTTGTTTTCTATTTTCAAAACTTGTTGATTCATGATTCTTTGGATTATAACTTTTGGTTATTTGAGTTGTTTGGCCTTGTTTGAGGACAAACAAGTTTAAGTTAGGGACAGTTTGATTAGTTCAAATTGTAGTTATTTTTGTATATAATTTTTGTTGCACTTATAGACTTTTTGTTGTTAATATCATTGAATAAACCCGAATTTTGTGTAAATACGTTTAGTTTGTGTTTATTTGTGTTTTTATGTACATAGTGTACTATTTTATGTTTTTCCATTCATTTTATAGGTATTTGTTTCATTTTGGAGCATCGAGGAATAAGGTGTCGAAGGCACGACTCCAGATGTGTGTTTCCGGAATAAAAGATCAATTTTGAGACATTCTGTCCAAGAGAGCCCGCTTAGCGCGCAGAGGCCGCTAAGTGCGAGTGGCGCTCAACGCATTTTGTAATATGATGAGAACCAAAGTTTTGAAGTCCTCTTAGTGCGAATAGCGCGCTTAACGCGATTTAGGTCGGTTTGATGTGTAAAATAAACAAGTCGCGCTTAGCGCGCCAGGTCCGCTTAGCGCGGTCTGTTGACACTACGCCAAAAATGATTTTTTGTATCACCTAATTTAATAGCACTTTTAAAAAAAATGCTATTAAAATGGAAAAAACACATTTATAATAGCACTTTTTAATCGGGCGCTATTATATAATACAGACTATGTAATTATGATAACACTTTGTACCAGAACGCTATTATTAAACTTCTTTAAGATAGCATTTTGTATAAAACGCTATTATTTGACTACCTATATAATAGCATTTAATAAAAAGCGCTATGTTATATATAATAATGAATTAATTAATTAATTGATAAAAAAAAAAAACACAATTTCAGAAAATCTTCCTCTGCTTCCTTCGGTTTCCCGTCTCCACTCACCGTCTCCACTCACCGCCAAAAACAAAAACACTATCTTCCTCTGCTTCCTTCTTAGCCATTGATTCTCCCAACTGATTCACCGCCGTCAAATCTTCCTCTGCTTCCTTCGGTTTTCATTGATTCACCGCCGTTAGTCATTGATTTACCACCGTCATCCCTTCCTTCGGTTTTCACCCGGATCCATTCTTCAGCCATCAGATTCACCATCGATTCAGATTCAGATTCACTTCTCAAACGACACTCAAACAGAAGGAGGAAACACCGAAAAGAAAGAACAACCAAATCTCATTCTCCGTCGAACTCAACCCTTTGTCATCTCACCTACGTCGTCGTCATCCCTCTCTTCATTTGTATCCGGTAATATTTCTTTTTTCAGTTTCTGCTATCCGTTGATTCTCTGTGTTGTTTGTGAGCGTTATGATGTCTTTGTGTTGACGGATATTCGTGATTTTGAGTAGCTGTAATGAGGGTTTGTGAGGTTAAGTTGCAGTTGTGAGGGTTCGTGAAATTTGAGTGCTAAGGCTTGTGTTATTGATGTGTGCCTGAATGGTGAGAGATGAGCTGGTTATTGATGTGAGCAGTTGTGAGTAGTGGCATGAAGTGTAAGGTATTTGGCCATTGAATTAGTTTTAACTAAGGTCTATGTGTTGAAGTTGTGTGCAATTTTCAATTTCTAGTCCTAGTTAACCGTAAATGCTATGAATGCTATGAATGCTTTTATTTTATGGCTCACAGTTCCTCCTTTACATTATGACAACAACCCTTTCCCACTTAAAGTAATTAGTTTTGAATTTTCTCTGCTTTTACTCTGCAAGATTATGGCTTATTATTTGTTGCTGTTTCTTAATTTGTTTGATGGTGTTTATTTCACGGATTCAAAAGATCTTTGTTGTATAGATCTGTATATCCCATGAAACATACTTGTTTTTCTTGTACAACTCGCCTGCATCCAGCCTAAAATATGCCAATTTATGCATTTTCATTATAGTAAGTTGACTATACTCATTTTCTTATAGGCAGCATTATGCTCTTTAAGAATCATAAAGAAAGTCCCAGACTTGGCAGAAAATTTTGTCAATCCTGCTACTGCCTTACTAAGGGAGAAGCATCATGGAGTTTTGATCACCGGGGTTCAGCTTTGTACAGAGCTGTGTAAAGTTAGCTCAGAAGCTCTTGAACATATTCGAAAGGTTCTTTCCCGTTTTTCTTATAATCTTTTTGTCTCTGATTTAGTGTATTCATTAGTATGTACTCGTGATATGAACTGAGGTAAATTTATCCATTATAAGACTCTGCATGAGAAAATCATCACGTGCCACAATATCTACAAATACACATGCAGTCTTGTCGCTGTTACTGCGTTTCACCCGTGTTTGAGTTAACAATATGATGTTTGATGTTTGTAAAACCTCGTTTCAAATGGCTAGCTTGCAATTTTCTACATTATGGAACCACTTGTTAGTCTTTGCAAGCATGTCTGCTTCACATAAATATTATGTTCTCGTGTAAAGGCATATAAAAATATCTGCAAGAGGATTTGACTGTGGTCAGCTTTGTTGTAATAAAAAAGTGAACAACTATTGTAGAAATGCACAGAAGGTTTGGTGAGAACTCTAAACGATCTAGCAAACAGTCCTTATTCACCAGAGTATGATATTGCTGGCATTACAGACCCCTTTCTCCATATCAAATTGCTTAGATTGTTGCGGGCATTGGGTGAAGGTGATGCAGATGCTAGCGACTCTATGAACGACATACTTGCCCAGGTCAGTGCACATCATCAATTTTATTATTTTTTATTGTTATTTCTCCTGCTGTGATGGCTGAATTATTTGTCACTAATGCATTGTTTCATTAATAACCTCATTTGTTAAAATGCTACACTTTTTGAATATTCTTTTTCCACTTGTATGCTCAAATGTTTGGGCCTAGACCAATTAAATATTCTGCCGCAGCTATGCATCCATAATTTAGTCACTGTTAAACTCTTCTATATTTTCATGCACTAAGCCTCACCTTTTCATAATTAATTTAAACCAAAATAATCAAATTAAGTTCATTAGTTGTTGCTGCATTTGTTTAGTTCTGTTTTTTCTTTATCAAATCCATACAATGGTAAATGAGTTGATGAATTTTCTTTACTGTTTTTTCTTTATTAAATTTATGGTTAGACTTTTCAAGTTGCCCGTCTTTTAGGTGGCTACAAAGACAGAGTCAAACAAAGTTGCCGGGAATGCCATTTTGTATGAGTGTGTTCAAACAATAATGAGCATTGAAGATAATGGTGGATTGCGTGTGCTTGCAATCAATATCCTAGGAAGATTTTTGTCAAATCGGGATAACAATATCAGGTATTTTTCAGGAAATAAAACATCTGAATTATTTATAAATCAGTTACAGTAAGTGATGTAGGTTCCTTCCTTCATTAATTACTGAGATAGTTCATAGAATTTATTAATATCATTGAGAGTTCAATAAGCAAAATGAAACTTCTAAAAGCTGAAGCCAAGAAAAATAGAACTTTAGATGAATGAGGTAAATAAAAGTAAATTAAGCTAAATCATTAGGGATCTGTGCCTTTTATGCAACATCAAGATTCATAGGCTTGTTTTCTTTTGAAAATTGTTTACTTACATTAAATCATTTGATTGAGTGAATTGTTGCCTTGACAATTTTGCTTTCTACTGGTCAGATTAATTTTTAAAATAAAGGAATAAAAAAGAGGAAGAGTTCTTGGGAGTTGAAAGATATGACCATTCCTTATGAACAATAGCAGGTCTGAAGGCTAATTAATTACTCCCTCTGTCTCAAGATAATTGTCTTTCTAGCCTCAAAAAGTTGTCTCAAAATAATAGACTCTTTACTTTTCCAATGCAATTATAATTAACTTTTACCAATTTTACCCCTTGTATAGACTCTTTCCAAGTATGACAATGTACTACAACCAATAATAATAAAGGGTAATTTTGTAAAGATGTTACTTTTATTGACTCAATCGTTATTTTTCTTAATCTTTGTGTAACAACTATTATTTTGAGACGGAGGGAGTCTCTGATACAGGCGTGAAATGTGCTTGGCTCTATTCCAAAGTTTGTATTGTTGCATAAATTTCTTTTTGCGAAAATCATGTCTGTCAGAAGCAATTCACACCTAGCCTGTCTTGAGAAATTCTAAGTGATCTCACTTGTGCTTCTGGCTGTTTGCAAGCAGAGGTATATATAAGCTGTCAGATTACCAAAAAGGAAAACATTTGGGTGAAGGCAGGACTAAAGAATATATTTTGTCTTAGTTTAGTTTTTAAAGGATCATTTGTCAAAAAATACTATATTACTTTACAAACAGAAAACACTTCTTAATGGAGATGCAGAAGCTACCTTTACCTATAAAAATAGTTTTCTCTCAACGTTTTGGTCATCAAGGACTTCTAATTTTGGGTCAAAACCTATTAAATGAATTGTTTGAAACCACTTTTTCCTTCTCTGTTCATTTAGACATATTTAATTACTTTGGTAATCTTGAAGCTTGTAAATTTACACTTTCTCTTCTTGGCTATATGGCATGACTACCATTGATAATCATTCACAATAGCTTGACATAGGTTAGTGAAACCCTTGTTCTATCTTTTACAATTAGTACTTTATAAAAACTGACAGAGTAGTTCCTACATTGTGTTCACCAGGACCTATACTCAATCAATCCTTTTTTTGTTTTCTTTTAAAATTTTGATGTTTCTTTTTGATTGCTGTACATTATTGAAGAGAAATGAAATTTTCCAACTTTTCCCTTCAGATATGTGGCATTGAACATGCTGATGAGGGCTGTGAGTGCTGACGCTCAAGCGGTACGGAGACATCGTGCAACAATTCTGGAATGTGTAAAAGTATTGATTCATCAGTCTTTCTTGTTTCATAATTTGATGATGAAGCTGTTTTCTTTACACTTTGAGAAGATAGTGACTTGACTTCTTGTTTAGGATGCCGATGCTTCAATTCAGAAAAGAGCCCTTGAACTTGTTTATGTTCTGGTGAATGAAACCAATGTAAAGGCCTTAACAAAAGAGCTAGTAGATCATCTTGAAGTTAGTGATCAAGATTTCAGGGAGGACCTTACTACCAAAATCTGCTCAATAGTTTCAAAGTGAGTCTAGGAGGTTCTCAATAACATTCCTTTTTCAGTGCACATGGGACATTTTTGCCATCTGTATTCTTTTTCATGTTTTTTAGCAGTGGGGAAACCAAGCTAGAGTTGATTTCTTTATTAGAATTAATAATTCAAATGTTTTTTTCTAGTCCATGTTTATAGAGGGGAAACCAAGCATGAATTTCTAGTCCATGTTTTTTGATAGCACTTTAATTAAAACGCTATTATAAATTGGTACTTTAATAGCGCTTTTAAAGTGCTATTAAATAAGAAATATTTACAATAGTGGCGCGGTTAATAGCACTTTTAAGCGCTATCAAAAACAAAAAAAAGCGCTATTAAATAGCTTATTTGGCGTAGTGTGAGATTTGTTTTCTAACTTCATTTTCAGTTCATTTTTAGGGATGGTCTTGGGGAAGTTTTGCTCCCAACTCCATCAAACTTTAATTTTGTTAGGATTAGCTTAGATAACAACTGTGGAGCTTGCATACGGATGATCCAGGGTGGATTGCTCTTCGATCGACACTGACAAAACGGTAGATCTATGGTTTATTTCTCTTTTTATTTGTGTATTCTCTATTGGTTGGGTTTGTGTATGTATTTTTTTCTTTGGACTCATGTATATTTGTCGCCCTTGGCGTTATATAAAACTTACTTTAAGAATATTTGTCGATTGTCGTCCTAGATTTTTACTCTGTGTTAGGGATTTGAGTTGTTATAGACATAAACTGCTTAGATTCTTATCTAGGATGATTATCTGTTAGTTTCTGAACTCTAGTGATAGATTAAGAGATGACATCTACTTGGGTATCAGAGCTTAAATCCTCTGTGTTATTTGTGTTGTTCTGAGAGATCGTCGATGCAAGCTAGCATTGTTGACTTATGTGTCGTTGAGGTGGTTGAGAGATTGCTATCGAGGTGATGCAGTAGGCCTCTCAATTTGGGTTAGAAATGACTTAGGTTGTGAGTGTTATGTAATGAAATTGATGAATACTTTAGGTTTAGTATAACAGGTAGATAGGTTTAAGTCTGTGAGAAGTAGTATATATGCACGCTTAATAAGTTAATCCTTTTTCCTTTTTATACATTCATTTTCTATTGATATTTTTCTTTTCAACCTGTTTATCCCCAAACTCATTAACGATAGAATTGTCGTTGGTGAATCAATAACCAATCTCTATGGACACGATACGATATAACTTAAGTATCACCTGGTAAATTAATAACTTACTTTTTGCTTTCCGCTTTACCGCCGCAACAAAATGGCTCTGTTGCCGGGGATTGGTGTTTATTGTTTCGTATTGCAATAATTATTTTATTTTTGAGTTTAGTAATTAATGTATATTTTGTATAGAATGTGTACATAAACTTGTCTATTTTTACTAGTACATGTTTTGTGTTTAATTTCCATTCTTGTGAATATATGTGTTTTTCTTTGCTTTCACGTATTGTTGTGAATTGTCTTGTTTTCGTAACTTTCTTTGTGTGGATGTTAGGATACTTTCTTTAGGTTTGCGCGGTGTAACAATACCATGGCATGACGAGAGGAGGTTACTAGCTCGCACAATAAAGGCGTTGAGTTTACGACGTAAAACAAGCATGTTTTGTTTGTATTAGTTTATGTATGTTTTGACTTGTGTTTTAACAAGTTGAAATTGGACTTGTTTTAAATTTTTAAATTTTCACTTTTCAACTTATTAATTCACTTTCTCCCGTTTGTTTCGTCATGTCAATTTATGTTTTTCCGCAAGCTTGTTGTGTTTGGCTTGTGGAAGTGTATTTGTTAATGTTGTAAATATTGTAATTGTTGTAAATTAAGAGTGTAGGCTGATTGTGGAGACTGTTGATGCTGCTTCCTGTTTTTTCTGCATCAGGTGTAGCGCGCTAAGAGTGGTTTAGGCCGTTTAGTGTGCTTTCCTATGCTGCACCTGTGAATTTTTTTTTTTAGTGTTCACTTGGCCGTCCTTTTTCCCACTTCCACCTAGGCTTTAAATAGTGAATAATACTAGTGTAATTAATTATTTTTTTATTGTTTAGACTCAATTTTGGTTCGATAGGTTGAAGTCAACTTTGGTGATTTTCCAAGTTTGAGTGTTTCAACTTGCGAACACGTGGTAATGATTCTGTTAAAGTTTTGTACACGTTCGAGGTATGTGTTTATCACTTTCTATATTTTAGCATATTCATGATACTTATACTTTTTATAATTTTTATTTCATTCATTCTTTTATATACTTGTCCATTTGTGAATCACTTTAGTTCCTACCCTTTTTGTGAGGTAGCTTTCCATTGTTCAAATATGTTGGAGGCCAAAATTCTTGTTTTAACTGGATTTTATTATGTTTAATCTTTTGTTTGTATTGATTGTATGAAAGCTTGAACATGATCAAGTCATTTATTTTGTTCCATTTTTATCACAACTACCCCTTGCCAAATAGTCAATTCACCTTGTGAGTGTATGATCATCAGTATCCCCTTTTTACTCTTTTTGTCAATATCCATGTTATTTTTGCTAAATGTTTGTCTATGAGTGTTTGGTTCATCTTTTTGTATGGATATTGGTTTTTTGTTTTCTTGAACCCTCAACTATGATTTTTAGTTGAATTTTTACCTTACCTTAGAATGTAGGGAGTATCCACATTATAATGATGGTTGAATTCAAGTTGGGAAGAAAAATGATTGTGTATTTATTGGTTGATTGCTATGAGGTTGAAAAGAAAAACAAAAAGAAGTGAAAAAAATGTGAAAAAGAAAAGATAGAAAAAGAAATAAAAAAAATTGAAAAAGCATTGAAAAAAAAGAAAAAAAAAAGTATGGAATAATGTTGTGTTAGTAAGTGATGTGTGTTGGTATGTGTTTTACGGTGGGAGAATTGACTTTTGGTTTTGAGTTTTATCACAAATATTATGGATAGCAAGAGTCCCCACCTACTTTTCTTTTATCCAATAAAGGAAAGGGTGAAAAGAACAGGAAAGACCTTTGAGAATTTTCTAAGTAAGGGGGGTATGTTATGAAAAGGGAAGGTGTTAGCATCCTTATCATGTGTACTTATCTACAGGATCTTAATCGCTAGTTCATTTTGAAAATGCTTTGTGTGTTCGTGTGTTTGGAAATATTTTGAAAAGTGCCTAAGTTCAGAAAACTTTGTGATGATTCTCGTATCAGTTTATAACGCATACAAAGTGTTTGTTTTGAAAATATTTTAGAAAAGAAGTGTTTTGTGTGAAAGCCCTATCATTGGATGTTTGAGGGACAAGTGCGGGACATCATACAATCATAAAGGATACTCGTAGGGCGCTTTAGCAATTGATCGTAAGTGACTAAGATCGTTTACCGAGGCAACATCGAAGGGTCATCGAGGGACTATGATCTTTTAACTGAGGGTCTTTTCTAAAGCGTCCCACGTTCGATGGACATGACATTTTTTAACCGAGGCAACAAGTGAGGGTCACCTTAGAGGTGCGAGTGTGCAAAGTGTGTTGAGATTCAGTTAATTTATCTTTGATTTATGGTTATCTAGCGTTTGTTTTTAGTCCTTTCCATACAATCCTATTAAACTAGTAGTAATAAGGAAAACAGTAAATTACGGAGAAATAAATCTAGACTATTACAGAGCTTCGGGAAGGGGGTTACAAACCATAAAATAAGGAGAAAGTAAAGGAACCCTAATTTATCTATTACATCCCTTAACAGTTACATAATTATAATAATGCAAAAATAAATAAACGCGCAGAGATTGTGAAACAGTGAAAGATGTAAAAACCTAAAAAAATCTAAGCATTAGTGTAATACGGAGGGAGAACTGACTTGGGATGTTTTACATTTGATCGCAAATGTTACGGTTAGCAAGAGTCGCCATCGACTTTTCTTTTTTCCAAAAGAAAAGGTGGAAAAGAACAGGAAAGACCTTTGGGATTATTTCTTGAGTTTGTGGGGTATATTATGAAAAGGGAAGGTATTAACACCCTGTTCATCCATAGTTATCTATGGGCTCTTAGTTTCTTGCTAGATCACTTGCTTTTGTTTGAAAATGTGCTTTGTGGTGGTTTTTGGAAGTATTTTGAAAATGCGCCTTCGTTTAGGTAAACTTTGTAATGGTTCTCGTTCGTAAGAACATATACAAAGTGTTGGACTTTTGAAAATATTTTATGTTTGGAAAGTATTTTGAAAGTGCTTGTTTTGAAAGTGTGCATGGATGTTTGTTTTGAAAGTGAGCAAGGATGTTTTTTTTGAAAATGAGCAAGCAACTAGAAATAATCTACCTACTCAAAAGTCTTTTGTTCATTTCTTATTTTCCTTTGATATTGTTATCTTACCATTGATTGGTAAGAAGCCTTATCTTTAGATGTAAAGGGACAGGTGTGGGTCATCGTATAGTCATGATATCAATGTTGTGAGATATCTTAGCATTTATCTTTGAGGAACTAAGATCATTTAAAAGGCAACATTTGTAGCGTCATCGAGGGACTATGATCTTGTATTTTTGATTTGTTTTTGCTAAGACATCTCACATGCATAACATGGCCATTTTTGTAAGGCAACAAAGTGGAGTTAAACCTAGGGGTTCAAGTGTGCAAGTGTGTTTGGTTTACATGCATTGTTTATCTTGAATTAGGGTTCACTAATTGTTGATTTTAGTCTTGCCATACAAATCCTAATTACTAATATTTATATAAAAGCGATAAATTGCGGAAAGTAAAATTACTACGCTATTACATCATTAGGGGAGGGGGTACACAAATTTACAAATGGGGATTGCAAGAAAATTAAAACTAATTATCTATTACAACCATATTGAATATTATACAAGAATTGAATAAATATGCAAGAAAATAAATGCAAAGAAGTGATTTTGTTTGGTTTTTATTAAGGGTTTTAACCTAATTACTAAAACAGTAAAATTAACTAATTAAAGATAAATAAAATTAAACCTAAATTAATTAAGAAAAGAAAGTAAGTTTGAAGCATTTTTAGGGTTTTTTTATGAAAAAGGTTTAAACT